ACTCATTCGCACAGACACACATAAAAACATGTAATGATGAATAAATAAAAGCATAAATACACATGTACATTATATATATATATATAAAAATAATAATACAAAAACAATAATAATTTACTGTGACATGGGCAGGGATTGAAGATTACCTATAGTTTGTGACAGCAAGATGAGGAGAGAGGAGGAGGAGGAGAAAGAGAACAAAGAAAGGGTTTGGTGTACTGTACTGGAATCTTTCACTGAAGCCTATATGAGAACATTTAAAAGGTATACAAAATACTGCAGTCAGCAGTGTTCTGTATAAAGCACATCAGTGTGTTGTTGCTGCTTTGAAAGAGTAATGCAGATGGTGCTTGTGTGTATCATTTGTTGCAAAAATGCCATTTTGAAAAAGGATTATGTTCTGATTTCAGAGTTTAATTATGACATAACAGTGATGTGTCTCATTTAAGTTTGACACAATAACCCAAATTCTGCAACAAGTGTGTCAGTAGTCGTAAAAGGATTACAGCATCCATGTACAGTACAATCATCTACTAGAACAGGGGTGTTCAAACTGTTGGGCCCTTGGGGGCAGAGAGTTTCTGCTGTTTTTGTCCATTTACATACATATTTTGATTTACATTATTTCATTATGTGTTGAAATTGTGTCCATGTGCATGTGCAGGTGTGTGTGCATGTTCCGGTGTGCAAGTAATGTGGATAATGTTTTTTTTCCACTCTGTGTATGTGTGTAAGTGTGTAGGCGTTGAACTATGCTACGTTATTTGTTTGGATATTTGTTTGGGTATTTTTGGGGTATTATTTAGGTTATTGGGTATTTCTGGGACATTTTGGTTATTTATTTGGACATTTGTGAGGGTATTTGTCTGACCCTTGGATACGTGTGTGCAACAAAATTGGAATGAAATTGTGTAGTTGGGCACTTCCTCTATATGACCTTTACACTGCACTTTTTTGTTTCTCTTATCCCTGCTTACTGATGGATTATTTTGAAAAAGTTTCTCATTATTTTGAGTTTTTAACATTTTTTAAATGAGTTTCCATATATTTTGTTGTAAACAAACTCACACACAGCCAAATAAGACACAACATTTGGAGTTAAACATCTCATAATAAAAAAGCAAACAGCCCCTTTTATAAAATGGCGTTGTTGTTGCTTTAAACGAACACTGCTGTGTTGTTTTTGCCATTGCAGGTGTATACAACAGCAAACACAGAAAAGTAGAATTAGAAAACAGTGATCAATACAATAGGTTAATGTACACCCATGGAAAAAAAAGTAATCAGAATCAGAAATACTTTATTGCTTCCCAGGGGGACATTTTTTAGTAAGAAGATGATGGGAGCAACTGTAACATGCATGTGCATTGTGCACTATATGAGACAGTAATGACAGAACAATTACAGTGCAATGGTAAATAACAATAGTATTGTAATGGATTGTAAGCATTGGGGTGCGTGATGGCCTCAGCAGCAGCCACACACTGAGGAAAGCACATGGTAACCCTTTCATTTGTTTGATTATCTTTAGGTTTCAAACATTACATACAATTCACAATAAATAACTGGACAGATTTTGGATTCATAATACATTTTTATTATCCATTTCCACACAGTAGGTTATTTTTTTGGGTTCACACTATGGTTAACTTTCTTTGTCAATTTTGGGTAGTATTATTAGGTCCATTAATATAGGTTATTTTTCATTGCATTAATTTCTTTGAGTTACCAGTTCCTGGGTGTTGCTGCTGTAGGTGTCCCGTGGCTGACCAAGGAAGTGCCGGCTGAATGAGAGATGCTTACTGTAAAAGGGGTTGGGCAGATAATTGGACTGCACCATGTTAGCCTGCATCATGGGGAGAGGCAGTGGTTGCTCCTTGTTTGAGTTTTGTTATTTCTTTGATAATTATGCTTTTTGATATTGGCATTTTAGTAGTTTTCCTTAGTTAATATTAGGCTGCGTTACCTCTGACTCCTCATGCCTGCCAGCTCGGCCGCTTACAGGGTGGATGGTTTATTGGGTCTACTGTTGCAGTCTGGCTACATCACAAGCAATTAAAAACCAGTCCCGGACCAGAGCAGTGCAGTGGAAGCTACAGTAACATCACAGATAGCAAACAATTTCCCCCTAGGGGATCAATAAAGTATATCTTCTTCTTCTTCTAGGCACACAGTTAGTCTTATTGAAATCCATATGCATAACCACTGTACTTACACACACTCACAGTCCTATCCATATACATCTCTCCCAACACATACATAATTTAACTTCCCCCCTCTAGCTGGAGTTAGGCTGTTACGCTTTCCATGAAAATGACACTTTTTAACCTCTCCCTCCACTGTTGGACGGTAGGTGGCTAAACATTTCTTTTGCTGCTTAATGCTTTGTTCTAAGCATTCACTTTTAGTGTAAAAGACACTGAAGACACTACACTGGCTGTCTGTATCTTTTACAATTTATTTTATAGTTATTTTACTTGTTTATAAAGCTTTAAATGACCTTGTTCCTCCATACATCACACATTTTATATTCCAGTCAGATCACTGAGACCTCCACTACTTTTCTCTTAAATGTTCCTTATGTCTGGCTTTGACTTTGGAGTAATGTTATAGTCTTATGTTTTAGGTTCTAATCTTTGGTTTTACATTATTTGTCTCCCTGATTTTATAGAATTTTTTTATTTATTTTATTTTGACAATGTTTTTATTGTATTATTTGGATTTTTTATTTTTTTTTGTCTTGCAGTTTTATTTATGGTTGTTAATTTAGTTCTTATGTGTTGTTTTAATTTGCTATGTGAAGCACTTTGGGCTGCATGCTTGTGCTGTATAAATACATTTGAATTGAGTAATTAGAAATGGCGTGTGATGCATGGTATCGCCTGTAGAGGTCGGACAGTGTGCCGGAAACTGTTAAGAATCAGCAGCAGAAGAAGAAGAGAGAGGAAGTGGACTTGCTTTATGTTCTGGGTTCTACACTCATGTGTTGAGCTGTTTTTCTGGAGCCAGAGAGCGGGTTGAATTTATTTTTTAGTTTATGTTTTCTTCGGGAAGTCCGAACAAACGTGAAAATGGAAGGTGAGTTTAATTATCGAAGAGGAACCGTAAAGTTTGGGTACAACAAAACAACGGTTTGTCCCTCTGTCTACAGCGTGGTAACGTTAACCGGTTTAAAAACGTTCGCAGCCCAGACCCTTTTCACAGCAGCTGGTTTGACATTAAATATTAGGGTAAAACAGGTGTTTCCATTGATACTAAGGTTCAGGTTCAGGTTCAGGTTAAGGTTCTGTTCCATTTAGTGTAACAGAGCCTTTCCAGTGAGCCAACATGAACGATAGCAGCACCCTGACTGTCTGCTATGCAAATACTATAACGTTAGGTTAGAGCTGCAGTATGCCACTTCACTATATTCAAGATTCAAGAGGTTTATTATCATATGTACAGTAAGAAACAGTGGTTTGAACGTACAATGAAAATCTTATTTTGCCCGACTCCCTGAGGTAAGTACCAGAGTAAGAATATAAAAATTAAAAATATATATAACATATAACTTACAACTTAAAGTGCAGAACATAACATCTGTACAGTAAAACAAGAAAAAAAGAATAACAGTGACAGTAGAACATGAGACTGATAAGTGTGAAACAATCAGGTTCCTCTGGCTCCTCCTAAGGTGCTCCTAATTATGTAAAAATCCACCCCGGCCTGAAATGAAAACAACCAATCAGAGTGGTGAATATCCAGACCAAAGCATCAAAAACCTTTCGCCTGAACTTCGTAATCGGCAACAACTTCTTGCCAAAACACAACGCACATTTGACATTTTTGTTCAGAATGAAATCACTTGGAGATCCTTCTATTCAGAATGCAACATTTCTGACCAAACCTGACCATCAATCAACTATCTTTCTCAGCTCTGATTGGGTGTCTCATCGATGCAGTGGATCTAAAAATGCCATTAGGACACTAGAGAGCCAGAGATTGTTTCACAGATTATCTGTCTCATGTTCTACTGTCAGGATATAGTGAAAGATTCAACAAATATGACAAACAGTTATTTTTATAAAAGTTACCTACTGCAGCTTTAAGTATCAACTCTACAAGGCTATTGAGGAGTTCTCCCCCAACTGACTAAAAAACTGATTAGCTTCTTTTCTTAAAGACAGTTTAAAGTTGTCAAATATTAAATACACACTGGACCTTTGAACTAACTTTAACAAAAGCAGTAAAGGTTCAGCTGTACAAGAACTTTGCTTAAATAAAACTTGGCAACATTTTTATTGAAATCAGATACTATCTGATTAAAGAATGAGTAAATGATTAGGAAACTGAGCGGACATTTGATGGCAGCTTTCTGGATGTGACAGATTTTGATACTCAACAGACACATTTCAGTAGAACGTTGAACATTGACAGTCGATACCTAGCTCCCCACAGAAAAAGACTGTCTGGAAAAGAGAGTCCCCTAAAGCATCACAGTGCTCATCAGCCAGTGTCAGAGTGAACTCTCATACTCTAAATACTTTAAATTTGGTTCCCCCTAGGATATACTCTAAATGCACATACTATATGATCCATGAGTCAGTAGTATGACATTTTTTTAAAAAATCCAATCATCTGAATTTTAGGCCTTAAAATATCTTAAATTTGATTGGATTAATAAAGTTAACATGATTTTTGTAGCATTTTTCAGCCTCAGGAAAAATATGTATTGATCTTGCTGTAACAACTACAAAAGTGAACAATATTGATCCAATACTGATATTTCTTCATATCCCTTTATATTGTTTTCACTAGTATGGATGTGAAATATGTCTTAAATTGCCTTCAAAATGGTCTAACCCGTAGAAACCCTGTCACAGAAGATACATGTAATGCTTACAAAACCTCTCTTATGTAAGTTGAGGAAAGGTTACCACAGTACAAGTGGGATCCTCATTCATTACAAGGAAGTTGCTACCTTCCATAAGAAAGAAGGAACAAACTCTTTATTCTGTGAATCTTTAAACACCTGGATGCATAAAACTTTTTGCGCAACTCTTTTCCTCATGCACTGGCACCTGACATTTTGACATTTAGGTCATGCTCAATTTCCTGTGTACTTTTCCTTCAATTGCTTATCCTAAAACTTCAGCAGAATAAAGTGGAAGGTGGAACAGTGGAGCATTTTGTGCTTAGGTGCTCGATCAAACAACATGAAAACACGTTAGCCGAAGCAAGCAATTCTGACGATGAATTGATAGTATAAAACATTTATCAGCAGATTTTCTCCTCGTTACAGCTTTCTCCAATGAATATCTTTGGGTTTTACACTGTCAAACAAAATAAATTAAAAAAATTATTTAAAGTAATTAATCAAGATGGCACTTTTGGATCTGTGAACTTGTGAATGGGATTTTTATTATTTTCTGTCATCCACAGTTAATCAGTTAATATGAAAAAAATAATAGACTAATCAAAAATGAAGATAATTGTTAGTTGCAGCTAAAATTTACTTCCTGTAATGTAGCAATAAGATAGAAGTTATTTATGAAGCTATAAACCTTTTTATGTGGCTCTGTGGATGGCTGGTCTACATTGGTCCAATGACCCCTCCTGCATTCCGGTCCTCTGCCTCAGTTAGCTGATCCGCTTTTGTCTATGTCCTTTCAACAGAAGCACTTGTCCGAGCCAGGATTCCTCGAGACCTGGAGAAGGTTCTTGGTGTTGAGGTGAGCAGATATTACTCAGTGGACTGTAACGTATGTAAAGTGATATGCGATCCAGAGCTGAAACAATTAGACAATCAATATATTAGTCAACAGCACAAAAAATCTATTACTATTTTGATTATCAGTTCATTCGAATCATTTTCCTTCGATGAGTAAATGATTAACGGTATTTAATTCTGTAAATGGAACATCAGGGTTTTGGACTCTGGTCAGATATGACAGTCATAACAGGCATTTTTCACTATTTTCTGACATTTTATAGACAAAACAGTTGATCAATTCATTTAAAATTATCAGCACACTATCAATAATAAAAGTAATAGTTAGTTGGAGCCCTAATGATATCATACAGATTGTGTCTATATATTAGAGCTGTGGTTCCCAACCTTTCTATCCATTTCATGGATATATTTCATATTATATTTAATCCATAACAACAGTAGAGAACAACTGATGAACTGTACAATGGACAGTGAACACTAACTGAAAGAAGTTTGTGTAAAACCAGAGATTTGGATGAAATTTAAGCATATTCTTTTCTGTGAATGTTGTTGAGATTTCCTGATATTTTTAGGAACTTTTTAGGCAATTCAACATTATCTTATTCAGGGTATGAATAAAAAACATATTAATTTATTTGATCGGCAATCGGATACTACAGTAGGCTATCACTACTGTACAGACTAGACTCTAATCTCTGTAAATGTCCTCTGTGTTCTTCCCTCATCTCCAGTCTCAGACCAGCTTTAAAGCGGAGGCATTCACCCAGGTGTTCCTGAAAAACAGCATTCAGCATCACGCACGGTACGATGTGAAGGCCATGTTGACTCACAAGGCTGTGATACTGGGCTACAGCAGGCCAAAGAAGGACAAGTCAAAGAGGAACAGCAAGAAAGCCAAAGGACTGAACGCTCGGCAGAAGAGGGCAATGAAGATCTTCCAGATCAAGCCAGAGCACCAGAGGTTCGGTCAGGAGTCTGAGGACAGGACAGTTGTCGTGCTCCATGTGGAAAAAAATAAACCTTGTTGCCAAACATCCTTTTCAGAATCGACTGTAACACAGTCCCCATTTACCCTCTGTGTTTATCATTATCCTTGTAGATACGAGCTTTTCCTGCCTCTGCATGAACTCTGGACACAGTACATCACTGACCTGTGCAATGGATTGAAACCAGAAGGGTAAAACAGTTTGGAGTGCCACACATATGAACCCTGACATCCCTAATTCATTGCTCATCTGAAGCAATTTCAGAAGTCCTTATTACTTTTACTGTATGTCTCATATGTTGTGTTGTGATTTTACAGCAGTCCACAGTTTGTACAGCAGAAGCTTCTGAAGGCAGACTTCCATGGTGCCATCATCACAGGTAGATTTTTTTAGTTTTCTCCAAAATGAAAATTAGAAACGCCCCTAAAAATGCAATTCATTAGGACAGAAGAACATTATTAAGTTGAATTACCAGATTTAATTCAAAGTTGAAGGCATGTGACCATGGTGTAGTTTGTTTATAGCCTAATGTTTAGGGCTGTAATGAACCAAAGAAAATCTTGGTCAACTGAAACTCTACCTGCTCTTTAACCAGTCTATTGGTCGATGTGAAAACCGTGTGGTCTCTACCTGCTAGCTGCTGGGTGCTAATCAGAGTTATACAGTATTGGCAAGAAAATGGATTCCAGTACGCAAAACCAGAATGGGCTTGAGCCCTACCTACTTTTGAACATAAAATATGTAAAAAATAAAAAAAAATAAAGAAAAATTCCCTTTTAAGTATACTGTCTATGGTGGTAACATATATCACACTGTGCACAGCCTATGAGAAAGGAATAAATTCTGCTATCTAAAAATGTATTGGCTAATTGTGTCATGTAATCGATGTATGTGTAAATCAAATCCCATTCAAGTGCTGATGACCTGGCGCTGCCCTTCTCCTGAAAATTAAACTCTGAAAAATAACAGATTTTTAACAGTGATACTGCGGTGCTGATGGACCCGTCCAACTGTCCCTCAGTATTACAAGATTAGTCCAGAATCCCCCAGCCCCAGGCAGTTGACAAAAAATTATGAACACTAATACAACATAAAACATGGCAAAACTTAGAGCTTCCAAGTTTGAAGTCGTGTAATGGAGAGCCAATAACGTCTGTCACTGGGTTGGAAAAGTCATTACGAGCCTGTTATTAGCAGTAGTCCGTAGTGAAGTGCACTAAGCAGAAACCAGAACGATGCTAATTTCCACGTTGGCCTACAAAAATACATCAGGATCATATTGATGAGGAAGAGAGCGGTAAATACAATAACTGTACAGCCTGGTTGAAATATGCCAAGACTGTGAGCTAAATACAGTGTTAATGTGGTATGTGACCTACTGAATGGTGTATCATGTTGATCGCTGTCACATGTGCTTTATTATGAAATCCTAGAAGTACCTGTTAGTATATAAATACTTGATGACCAGCTTACCGTAACAAAGTTTTTTGTTTTTTTTAAAACAACATTCAGATTTTTGATATGAGTTGAATGACACTCCTTACTGATAGACCATTATCTGGATGCATTTCTATGACTGCAGGTGCAGCGACGACCGTGTCGTACTTTCATACAGTGTTTGTTTTCTTTTCTCTCTCACAGTGGTCCGGTCTAAGTGTCCATCATATGTGGGGACTACAGGAATTCTCGTCCAAGAGTTCAAACATGTCTTCAAAATCATCACCAAAGAGGATAAACTGAAAGGTTAGATAGAAACTCACCTACAGCTCATCATGTTTTAACATAACTGGGTTACTATTGTCCCAATTAAAGATTTTGAAAAAGTAATTACAAGAAAACAGTACCAATTTATTGAACCTGAATTTTTTTCGTACATTTGTAAATAGATTCATAACAGTAGACCTTTTTTACAGCACATATTTTGGCTTCTCGTAGCAGGATTCCATTTAGGTGAGCTAGTTCTGGGTCTTGGTATTGTACAGGCTGGCTCACTATCATGGCTTACTGGAAACACTTGTTGCATTTGAGCCAAAATTTGTGTAGGCCACCTGAGCTTTTCCTGCTATGACAAAATGTCTGCCGTGAAGGTTCTGTTTCTGGACTGGTTGCACAGCAGACATTTTGACTCGTCTAAGCCATAAAAACACAGGTGGACTTAACACTTACAATGGCTCAGTTCTGTTAAGTACCCCAGTGACAGTGAACCAATACAAGAGCAGGACTTCCCCTAAGTGGTTTGCAGCTAATACACCTGTGTGTTTCCTGCTGTGACAAATATCAAATATCTGCTGTGCAAACAGATCAGTTTGATTATTTTACTTAAATTTAACATAATATATAATGATATCCCAAAAATATAATTGACCCTTCCTAAGTCCCGCCCCTTTTGCTTTGTGCTCCAATAACAGTTAAGCAAGCCTCAGAAGAACCTCGGTAAACTCCTTCCCTGTACTTGGATATGCTATGTGCTTGGCTCATCTAAAGTCACAGCTATTGTTAGCAAACTCTATTGAACTAGCTAGCTAATTTACAGTAAATCAAAAGTGTGTCACAAAGAGGGAGAGCACACCGTCTGTGAATAGTTAACTCAGTTTAATTAAGTAAATCAAAAATAATCAATACAGTTTAATATGTCTGTCAGCAAAGTATGTCTGCAATGTATGTGTGAGTGAAAGGTGAGGTGTATATGTATGAATGTAAAACCCAGAACACAAACAAAAACCAGTAGTTCAGTCAGCAAAGACTGAGAAAGCCTTTCAGGTCAAAGCTGTGATATTTAATGTATTTTCTTAATACAAAACTAACTGACATTAAGGAAATCGTCTCTGGTATTGGCATGACTGATTTTTAATTAAGGCTGATAGATTAACTTTCAGAATTCGTTTTTAAAAGCACATGGTATGAAGTTAAAGCAATTTCAATCATTTAACATGAAAACTGGACACCATATCAGAATTATGTCACAATACAATATTGTGCTGCTGCAACCAAATTATAGTGAAACCTTCCGGTCTTGGACAGTGTCTAACTAAGCACTAGTTTGATTGGTATTGTTAGTGGTTCACACGTTTTAACATTTGTTCCCCTATTTTTTTTCCCCCTCATCCTCCACTTGTTGTTGGACAGTGATCCCCAAGAGGAACAGTGTGTTTGCAGTGGAGATCAACGGCTTTGTCTCCCACATCTACGGCAGCAAGTTTGAGCAGCGAGCCAGTGAACGCTCTGCTAAGAAGTTTAAAGTTAGAGGAACCATTGACTTGTAATGGCACTGAGGGTCACTACAGGATGCAGTGTTCCTCAACAAGAGAGACATTACATATTCAGACCTCCACTGCCCTCTATTGGCAGTCAGAAGGAACTGCAACAAAGACAAATGCATTCTGCTCTGTTACCATATCCTAAGAGATCCTAAAACCAACAGGAACCAATCTTTCTCACTCAAGATCAGTTTACCTGTCATAGTGTGTACTAAACAGCCAGTGAAAACGGTTGTATAATGTTCTCTGTGTTTGGATGGGTGTCAAGTCAGAGAAAGTAACTGATCAGGTTTTTTTTTTGCCCTTATCCCAAGTCTTAATACATTTAGAATTTAAAAATCAGCCAGATGGAGAAAATGTCTGCTGTCATACAGCAGTATCTGCTGTGTTTTAGTAATTATTTTAGCTACTTTTCTGTTTTATTATGTATTACACAGTAGAAGACAAAGCAAAAAAATGTCTTTCTTCCTTTGTCATTAGGAAACATGCAAGACTTTCTTGTTCCTTTTTGTAACAGAAAATGTGAAACGTGGTGGTCTGTAAGCTGTTTGTGTTCTTTTTTGAAATCCGTCACCTGGTCCTGGCATGTCTGAGCATGTGAGTTCCCCAGAGTGCCTTGCATAATTCACTTGGTTAGAGGAGTTGTCTTACTACCGGTATGTTATCACACTGCAGACTTTTTCTTTTGTCTTGGACAGACCCAAACACTTGGCTTCCACAGGGTTCAATTCGGGTTTATTAGAGAGGCATGCATGCAGAGGTTTGAGACTGCAGATTCCAGACTTTCAGGTTTGTATCTGTTCCACAAATGTACAGGCATGCTCTGTCTAACGCTGTCTGCACATAACACTTTCTTACTCTCATAATGAGAACGCATAGTTAATTATAGTCTACGATTCCATGAGTACCTGATTCACATTTGAGATGCATCCCTGAATGCAGCTGCCACAAAATGGCTCACACTAGTTTAGCTTTGCAGAAATGCATTTTAATTTTCACTAACCCAAGTATTGTTTTAGCATTCTGTACAATGCTGACTAATGCCCTGACCAAGCTACAGGTCTTTTTCACAGCAGTAATGTAATGTGTCAGTAGGGAGAGCACAAGTGTTAATCAGGGTGGCAGGTGTCCAACTTTGTGTGGGACTGCACAACATCTTTATTTATTGTCCCACATTTTGATTGGCAGTAGTTTACAAAAGTCACTGTAGGATAGGTGCTTTTCTAATCATTTTTTTTCAAGTGGCTGTGAAGAAAGCAGGGGCTGTGTCTGATGTCAAACAGCACATTTGGATAAAGTGCAATATAACCTGTCACCGTCTTTGTTACTCTGTGTCCATCAGATAATACTGCACCACAACAAAGCTATGCAGACTTAAGTGGAATATGATGGTAACTACTACAAATAGGGATAGGGATATCAGCTCCAACAGAGATTGGGGAATAAGTGGGCAAAGTTATTGAGTTAGCGTGGGAGTTGGTATAGTTGCATTAAAGGCCTAACCTGTAACCTGGATAGTGTATTGTTTGCTACTGAATCACCAGAGGGCAAAGCACACAGATATTATGAGCTTAAGGGGAAGAATAGAAATGTTTATTTTATGGATGTCCCGATCCAATTAAGGCATTTTAACTGCTCGGTATTGGCTATGATTATCTGTATTGAGCTTTATATTGATATTTATTATCTAAAACAATACAATACGGCAGACCAAAGTGGAGCCTCTGTGTGTTGTTTGCCGACTGCTGAGGATAAAGTGAAGGGGGTTAGCCCTGGAGGAAACTCTCCCCTGTGCTTCCCGACTACGGTCTGGGAGCAGGACAGGAAAGGTTAACAATGTCCCACATTGTCCAACACAAACATAGTCTTTGTCCCACATTTAGTTTGTTGGCTTTTCGTAAGTCAAAATTTAATTTGAAATCAGGAACTGTGAGTAAATACGATCATGACATTGTGACAGCTTTTAGCGCATGACAGATTTTCACATTTAAAGGACCAGTGTGTAGGATTTAGTGACATCCAACATTGAAATTGGAAATTGCAACTAACTGAACACTCCTCACATCTGTATTTGACGACCTGTGAATGAGCATGAGCTGTGAAGTGTCTAAAACTAGTGTTTGGTTTGTCCATTCTGGGCTACTGTAGAAACATGGCAGAGTCCAGATTCTTATTTTCAGGTGATTATACACTATTGAAAACATACCTATGAATATTATATTAAAGATCCTTTTAAGTATTACAGACTGGACCTTTAAGCCTTTACAGAAAAGTATTGATATTTAATACTCTGCCCATAAAAAGTAAATTTTAGAATTCAGGGGGCCAAAAATGGCTAACATACATGCTAATATGGGTGATAATGGCAACCTCAGAAACACCAGATTTGCTATACAGTGAGCTAAATTTTATATCTTAATTTAGTTCCAAAATTAGTGCAAAATCAATTTATTCATTCTTAAAGGTAAGGAGGGAAAAAATTCCAAAGCTCTTCTACCTGCTCACTGGTGTCTCCCTTGTTCTTGCCATGCACTTTTTACCGTAACCCTGTTGATCTAGATAGGCATGGGCTTCACCTGTTTGTGCTCAATTGGCACAGCCAGTAACTGGAAGGAAGATCACTGAATATACTTTCATCAAAGCAGCAGAATTTCCAGAGGAATGACAAATGTATTGGCAGCATGCAGCAGTCTGACAACTGTTATTTTTTCACTCCAGCTGCTAGAGCTGCTCGACAGGTCTTACAATACTTCATCTGTTTACGAAACGTGAGCTCTCGTCAGGACAGTTTTACTGTATTCATAGTTTCTGGTCACAGCGGATTTCACTCCAACAGGCCTGAACAAAAACAACCAATCAGTGCAGTGAATGATAAAAAGACGCTTTGGATTGGAGGCTTAAAGATAGTTTATTGTTGAGTCTCATTCATTTTACTACTTTGCACTTCTGGTTGATGCTAACTGCATTTCGTTGTTTTGAACCTGTGCTTGCAATGACAATAAAGTTGAATTGAATCAAATCAAATCTAATTGGTTGTTTTCATCCAGGCCCGTGGATTCTTGTAAATACCATTAGGACCACTAAGAGGAGCCAGAGGTAGAATTTCAGACATGCACTCATATTCTACAAGACACTTTAAGGACTTTAATCTTCTGTATTGTTAGACAGGATCATCTCTTTGGAATAATCTACTTCCCTCACTACAATCAATATCTACATTATCTTTGTTAAAAAAAAAAACATCTCTTACATTTCTCTAATTAGCAAAGATTCACAACAATGAATCTCAATAAAATGTATATCATCTGGTGAACGTTATTATGGTAAAATATTGTACATTTCTATCAATTGGGTTTCAGCTGATTTAATGTATCTCTGTTTTTATCTTTTTAAAGTATGATAATATTTATAAAGGGGAGGTATCTTCATAAAATGGATATTGATAATGGAGTGCATGGTGAAATAATGGGAGCTGCAGGTTCCTTTGAATTCAGGTGTAGTCAAAAACATTAACTCATACAGATTCAGTCATTACACATGAATTATGTGTAAAATAAGTACCCAGCAGAAAGGACTGTTCCTTTTTACACAAGTATATTGTGTAACTTTCCTCCTTGTCTCTTTGAATTCAAACTTTGCTCCACCCCATTACTTTTCACAAGATGTTTTTGTCTTAAAGCAGAAGTTGCTTAGGAAAACCCCACTGCGTCACCAAGATCTATAAGAGCTGCTGGGCAAGCCTTGTCTAAGCAGAGAGAAAAGACAAACACATGACAAAGTCGTGGAACTACAAACAAAAAGACTGCTGCACTGAGAACAGGATTCTTGTTGACTTGTGAACTAGATACAAGGACACCATGGTGGACCAGCTAACCTTTGCCCAGGAGAACCGGGAGCGGATCCAGGCTGTTGAAAACTCATTCGGCGGGTCGGGGAAGCCCCTGTCCCAGCCGGGTCGGGTACTGATTGGAGAGGGCCGGCTGATGAAGCAGAGCCGCCGGGGGCCACAGCCTAAAGCCTTCTTCCTCTTCAACGATGTGCTGGTGTACGGCAGCATCATTCTCAACGGCCGCTGGCACAAAAGACAGCAGATAATCCCTCTAGGTGAGCTACTCATCTGCTTCTCCAGAACACCAAAACTCTTCTGAAGGAAGGAGATTACACTTTTATATTGTTCCATCGTTTTTCGGGTTGCTTTGACTTTTAAAAGAGAACCTCAGATTCAGAGAGAAAAAAGCTAACAAGAATAAGAACAAAGAGAGTAAACAATCTGACAGAAACAGGTTTACACTGCAGGCAAGTTGGTTCAGTCCCTCCAGAGTTTCGCAGGCTTCTTTTGGGATTGTTGCAGCCTAAAATGGCTGATTTCACAGCAGCTTTTCTAAAAACTTGCAACTATGCATGTTGCAGTGTTTTTAGTTTAGCATTTCTTGCAATGAAATGGTGGGAGAAAGTTGCAATTTGTTTTTGTAGAATTTATTAAAAATCAAAGGCAACTTCTTCCAGTGACAATAAAATGGCAGTCTGGTGATGTATGGCTAAATTTTTTCTTACTTTTCTTCTGAATCTTTAAGTTTTAGAATTTGTTACTTGTTTAGGTGAAAAACGGTTACTAATTTTAACTGCAACTATTTAATTTTAAAGCACCCAAATAATGCAGAATCTTAAAAAAAATTGAAATGCAGAATTCTTTGTTTCTAAAACTTAAAAAGGTAAGTTACTTTTACAAAAGATTATAGGTTGGTAAAACTTTCTTTTAGTTTATTTAAAAACTTGACTTAAAACTTAAAGATTTAGAAAAGACAGTTGCCTTGAAATTAGTTTTCTCAACTGTGTTGCAAAGTTGCACACAGTTGCACAGAATTCACGGGATTGGTTGAATTTGTGGTAATTGTTGTGATTGCAACATCCTGGATTAGTTGTGTGGCTGTGGGCGGGGCCAGACACTGATTACATCTTCTGCTATAACTTGCAGCTATAGGCACTGCTCCAACACTAATAAATAAAAACATATGGTTACAATGACAAACTGTTAACATACCATTTATTCATCATTTCAGAGGACATCCAGCTGGAGGACTTGGAGGATGGTGTGAGAATGAGGAACCAATGGCTGATCCGCACACCACGCAAGTCTTTTTACGTGGCAGCCTCCTCGTATGAAGAGAAGCGAGCCTGGATTGAGCACATTGAAGACTGCCAGTCCCGACTGCTGGAAAGCAGTGGCCGCACGCTGGGGTCCAAATATGCTGTCACCTGGATTCCGGACCAGGCCTCCGCTGTCTGCATGCGCTGCTCCAACAAGTTCACTGTGACCCAGCGTCGTCACCACTGCCGGAAATGTGGCTTCGTGGTCTGCGGTGCGTGCTCCAAGAAGCGGGCGCTGATCGGACACATTCACCCGACCAAGGGTTTGAGGGTCTGCAAAGTGTGTCACTCCAGTCTTTCGAGGAGGGAGTCAAAGGAAGAGGCCCAAGAGACGTCTCGCGTAAGGGGAGACAGCACCGGGAAGACGGGCTCAGATGAAGATGAAGTGGAGGGGCCCAGTGAGGAAGAGGAGGCAGAAGAGCAGATGGAGGACCATGACCCCAGCAGGTGGGTGGACTCCTGGTCCCCCTATGTCTACCTCAAACCAGAGCATGTGAGGCCCTAAACATAGGCACATTAGGAGTCCCTCAGAAATGACCTTTGGACTTTTATATGGACACAGTGATAATGCAGCTTTGCACAGTAGAAGCAAGTTAAACATAGCACAACAAGACAATAATGTAATGTAAAGTGTTTTGTACATTCTGTATTTATTGATGTGAATAGAAACACTATTGCTGTGAAGTCGTCACTTTATGATCTCTGAAGAAGTCTGTGTGTCCTCAGAGGATTTTTAGGTAGAACTCAATCTGCCTCAGTATATTTTTTATTTATTTATGTCAAACACGTGTATATGTCAGTGTTTTGTACATTTGGATTGAACATCTGCCTCACATCTGTCTTTAAAATGAACTATGGAAAATAAAACACTTAGAAAACAGATTAAAGATTTGTCTGTGATGATTGGACTGTTACTACCTCAGCTGAGAGGGTGGTTGAGTTTGTGTGCCTGTCTGTTCGTCTATCTGTCTGTCTATCAGGATATTTCAAGAACTACTAGACACATTTCTATGAAATAATAACAAGTACCAAGTGAAGCCTCTTAAATCATAATATGGATCATTTAAATGAATTAAAACCAAGCAAATAGGCTGATAAACACACAGTTTTATTTTATGACCTTTTTTAACATAAAATACACATATTTTCATCCCTGCAATCAGAGCACATTACTGTAATAATAAAGTGAGAATGAACATCACAACTGTGTGCTGCTGATTCTTATGAACTTAACATCATAACTGCATAAGAACACACAAAATAAGTAAGGCCTACAATACGGGCTGTTTTCACTCAACAGACGTTTATGGAAGCTTTTCTGTCAAAATAAAAGTCAGACATCAATAAGCTAAGCATTTTAAATAGGTTTTGTTTGTTTTTTTTGACCACACACTCCAAGACCCATCCAGAACAAGCCTGCGACCCACTTTTGTGACAGCATGCTCTACAATGCGTTGCCCTCTGTATATACAGATGGATGGCAAATAAAAATAAAAAAAAACATAAATGGTTTTTAACATGTTGCTCCAGTATCTCCCATAGGGGTTCAGTTTAGTTGAGATGTGTTGACTGTGCACATGTATAATATAATTCAGTCCCTTATATCTGATTGATGTGGTCATTGTGATCCTGGAAATACAGATTTTTTTGTCTCTGAAATTCTTAAAAGATTTTCTAAAGAAGAAAGGTAAAAAACTCTCTACAGTTATTTTCTACAGTGGGCAAATCAGTTGTAACTTTAGGGAGCCATTCAGTTTCTCTGAAACCTGTGAAAGATCAACATTTTTATGGACCAAGAAAGCGTATGCGACTGTCATGCGTGTTTGACCTTGTGTTTGATGGGGTGTGGAGGGCAGAGCTATCAGTGGTTATACTGGTGGTTCGTGTGTGTTATCATTGAGTTAGTCATTAACAGAGAAAGGGGTGTGGTGGTTCACAGTAGAATGGTGTGATGTTTTTAATAGAACAATATTACACAGACAAGGTCATTGTAAGAGACTTTCTGAGTCTGAGCTGGAAGTAAAAAGTCCCTAAAATGTGTAAACACACAGCATCGATCCTGCCTCCAGACACTGTTCGCAGCCCTGCATCCTCTCAGTGCTATGTAAGTGTTCCACACGGGCGACACTGAGAAAACCTGTTCAACTGGTTATTTCCACTGCGGGGAAGGCAGTGACAATGAGCCAGTGGGTTTGACTGTGGTCTCAAACCTGTTTGACTTACCTGCCTCCAGGCAAGCTGGCTGCAAGAAACAAGGAACAAGGAAACCTGTACAGGTGTACAGAGTAACCTGAGCAGATAGTGACAATGCAACAATGCAGACAAGGATTTGTATAAACATTCTATTTTAGGTGCTCTTTTTAAAGATATCCTATTGTGAAGCACTGACAACAGTAGAAAGTCCCTGGCTGAATCCTGCTGTATAAGGGAACCCGTTCTGTGTCTTGCAGCCACTCAAAGGCCTTTACCTACGGCCACATTCACCCTTTCACACAATGGTCACTCAGTTGGATGGCAAAAGTGTCCACGTTCGAAGCAGGAAACTAACTGGGTCTGTAACAATGACCAACTTTATAACAAACCTGACAGGAAGGAGGCAGGTTGGTTTATAATATGCTACAGCTCAGGTGCATTGTAATCTACCTTAAACTTTCAACTTAAATGTATTACAATGTGGGGAAAACATATTTCTCCACACCAACAGTCGGCTGTATCAAAGTGGGAGGTAGTCTCCCTAGCGCGGCTCCAAACTGTTTCTTTGAGCTGCTCTGATGAAGCCCATGAGACCAAAACATTAAAATATTTTTCTGACAATTAATTGGTGTGATTGAGATTAGTCAACTTTTTCCTGCAAATCTGTGTGTGCTAGCTTTTATGCCTTTGGGTGTTCACTCTGTGATGCACTGTGCGTTCTGACACCTCTCTGTTTATTTATGTCAGTTATGTCAAACAGCAGTTTAAGCCTATTTTGGCTCAAGTATTAGTATCTATGGGACCAAATAACATAATCATGATCCAATTTGGGAATTAAGGAAAACTAAGCAAGTAAACTAGAAGTTTTGAGGAGTGGCCTTTTTTAAGCTTTGTCTGAGCACACAGTCCCAGACTCTGATAACCCCTGGGCTATGTAATAGTTTGCTGCTAGTTCCAACTCTCCAAACTGTACTATCTGTACTCACACATACACATCCAGCTGCAGGCAGAGTGTGTGCACACTTACCTGCCTGACAGATGAGTACATTTACCCTGCAGGGATCCACACCTACTTGCACCCAAGTATAATGTGGCCTTTTGAATTTTAAAATAAAGATTTTAAATTAATTATAATAATAATGAAAAAATAGCCTTTTAGCAATTATTCACAAATGTTTCAAGGATTTGTCATTTACAACGCAGGGTTGTATAATGAAATTCAGATTATAGTTCCCTTTATGCTACTCTAAAGCAAAAACAATACATCTACACCGATCAGCCATAACATTGTGAGCACTGACAGGTGAAGTGAAAAACACTGATTATCTGGTTATCATGGCTTCTGTCAGTGGGGTGGGGATATATCGGCAGCAAACGTGCAACATTTTGGGTCCTCAAAGTTGATGTGTTAGAAGCAGGAAAAATGGGCAGTGTGAGATAGACCACTTTGACAAGGGCCACATTGTGATGGCTAGACGACTGGGCTCAGAGCATCTCCAAACCTTGCAGCCTCGTGGGGTGTTTCCTGGTCTGGCATGAGGTCAGCTACCTATCAAAGGCTCCAAGGAAAGGAAAAGGCAGTAAACCGAGACAGGGTCAATGGCCGCGGCCAGAGGCTCACTGATTGGCCAGGGGGTGGGGATCGAAGGCTTGGGCCCGTGACCCAGATGCCCTCATGATGTGATTGGCTGGATTTGGTGTATATAAATCATCACAGTAAAGTTTGATAATAAGTTATAAAAATGATAACAAATTTACTTTTGTAATGTGGTAACATTTATATATTAAATGAACAAGACAAAGATTTGCAATACAGTACAGTAATTAATTTTGTGTTTTGAGAATATGTTCATTTACTACTCTACTAAGAAAACATTTATTGCATCAACACTATTGAAAGCCATTTACATAATAAGTATGTGCACATTAATTACTAAGCTATATTTTGGGGCTGGATACTGTTATCTGTGCATAATTTACCAAGAGCATTTTAGCCAATTTGTATAATAGTAATTTCAGTTCTGAATACTGAATACTACACACTATGAACACAAAGTGAGCATTGGGGAAAGCGAGTTCTCACCTTAGCTTGAAACCACTCAGATTTCAGATAAACGAAGAAGGAACATGATGGAGTGCGTTAAGGTCTACGATTTTGAAAACCTCACATTTCAAAACTCGAGATACACGTTCTCTCTTTACCATTCAAGCTGCCTTTCTTAAGGAAATTAAGCTGGATGTCAGTCTGCCAAAAGGACAAATTATTTCCTTTATGGTTTTTTTTTCTTGTTTTGGGCCATTGCTTGGTTGTTGCGTTTGGATGGAATTGGAATTAAAAAAGGCTGGGGACGCTGAGTCATTATATATACATTTCCTGGGATATCTGTCTTCAGTGCTTAGTAACTTAACTTGCCCACTATTATTGAAACCACATATGGGTAGGCTATTCAGGCTAA